TAGATATCTGAGAGAAACTGTGAGTGTGGGAATCAGGAACACCTAGTGACTGAAAGTGACAAGGAAGGAAAAAAAATAAACTAACTTCAATTTTCTGGCTTAGTTGGCCAGATGGACGGAGATGCCAATAAAGAAACTTTGGTAGATGTTAATCCTTTTGGTTTGGGTTGTGCTGAGTTTGAGAAAGCAGGGAGATGTCGAGGCAAACTTGCCAAGTAGACTGGATTTTGAGTTTATAAGAAAACTCAAGTAAAGATACATTAGATTAAAAATGGCAACAAATTATTTGCACTACTTTTCATCCAGAAGTCTATTTCTCTAACCTTTGAATGTGGACTGGCCCCACACTTGCTTTGTCCAATAGAAAGCAGTAGAATTGATACCCTGCATCACTCAAGAGAGGACTTTTTTACCTTCCATTTGTGAACTGTTGGAACTATGAAAAGAAGCCCAGGCTAGCCTACTGGAGATGCATGGCCCAACCACAACCAGTGCCAACCTCTAGGCATGAGAATTAGGCCAGGCCACACAATTCAGCCTCAGGGGAGGCTCCAGATTTCCATAAACACACCGTGATCCCAGAAGACACTGCTAAAGAAAGCCTCAGCTGAGTCCATTCCAAATTGCTGATTCAAACAATTGAAAACTAGTTTTAGACTGCTCAATTCTGGAATGGTTTATTGCACAGCAGCAGATACTGAAGCAGTATGCAGCTCCCTTGGTCCCACTACCTTGCTTATGACTACTTGGGTCACTAATTGGACATTTATATTCTTCCCTGTCATCGGAAATCCTTTTATAAAGGTATGTCATGTTGGCTCCACAATGAGATGGTGAATTCCTCTAAGACAGAAGTGATTTATTTGTAACCCCAACAGCTCCACAAATAGAAGCCATGGTTTACTTATATCAATTGGCTGCATTGAAAAATAAGATGCTTCAGTAAGCACTGAAGTACATTATGTAGAATAAAGAGACTTGGATCTAAAATACTGTCAAGACGCAGGAAAGAGACTTTTCAAACAAAGATTGTATATTTCCAGGTGGGCTATTTTTAAAAGCACTTAACAGATACTGAATGGTATAATATTATCTTATGAAAACTATTAGAGTATCACGAAGCAAGAATAGCTCAGAATTAGAACTTTCTTATAAAGTCAAGGATTTTCTCCCCCCCATAAATAATTATAGTTTTATTCATTTTCTTCATAGCTTTTTCCTTTTAGTCAATGTTTTTTCTTTGATCTGTGTATGTTTCCTTTTCCTCCAATTACACTTCACTTTCTACTCATTTACAGTCATGCAATGTTTTAATGTTTGCTACCAAAATGCAAAGCCTATGCCTCTTAACTAGGCCTAGAGTAAGCTCAAAATAAACCAGCGATGGAAAGAAGCTTCTTCCTGTAGCATTTCTAAGACCTTCTGTGCTCTCAATGCACTGTCTCAGCACACTGCTTTAGACTGTGTGTGCTCATGTACTCTGTGACAGTGCTTACTGTTTCTTGGAAATGTTTGCTAATTAGGTCCAACATTCAAATCCTTTGAGGAAGCTCATTCAGCTAATTTCTCAAAATGATGCATACTCTTCTGTTCCTTGAGTGATTTAAATATCGTTTAGCCACAGAAAATTATAATTGATTTTTTCTAGAAATCCATAAAAAGTCATCAAGTTATCACCTAAAATATCAGCTACATACACGCACACACTCACACAGAGTAAGAGAGAGGTGTTGAAAATAGTTTAAGAGTATTAAGTCAACAAATGTGATTTCCTGTATTTTATGACTTCCAAGGAAAGACTTCGGGTACACTGAAATTCAGTGTCTTCATTGTGCTGGGAAACATAACATCTGTTTGTGGAAGGAAATGATAATTCTCTTTCTAAAAATCGCATCTCAAGATTATTTTACTTTTTGAGTCACTTCATAATAGATCTTCTTAAATGAAGTCTATTCCAGAATGTGGAAGATGTTATCGGTATTCAGAGATGTGATAAACGAAAGTGAAGAAGCTCTGAGGCAGATAGCAGCCAGTCTATGAATCTTTCTTTCAGTTCTGTAAAGAAAGCCAGGGTTTGGGACCCACATCCTAATCCCTTTCTATGAGCCGGGATGCCACCTAATTGATGAATCTGTAGAACACCAAACAGTTGTTTCCAATGTTTAAGTGTCAGTCATCGCTATCTTCAAGTTGACTAGCAAAGGAAAGTGGCTCAACTGAGAATGAAATTGCTGGACGTTAAGTTATGTCAGTGAAGTTGTCCAGATTAACTTGTTATTTGGGGGATCATTGAGACACCTCCTTATAATGTCAGATTCCACCAAGAGTACCTAAGTATGTGTCTGGCTTGCTCAGAACAGCAGCACAAGGTGAGATGGTTAGCACAAATAAATCAATTTTGCCAACTCCCTAATTTTGCCTAAATACTTATCCAAAGTAAAGCTCCCTGTGCTCCCTTTAACACCATTATGTTCCCAAAACCAGAGATGCTGGCGTGGATGTGGAGAAAAGGGAACACTCCTACACTGCTGGTGGGAATGTAAACTAATATGTTCCTTTTGGAAAG